AATAAAAATTTTTACTTAAGAAAATTGCCAAGGTGCTTCATACTTTTTTTCTGACGATTTTTGAAAATTCATATCTCTTAAACAAAAGCCAGGAGCAAAATCCAACGACCGCTGGATTATAGAAGACTGGAAAATTCTGTACCAGATAAAAATTTAAAATATATATATTTCCTACAGTAAAGGGTCGAAAAAGGCGACTAAAAAGTGCTAAAAGTGACATTTTACCCTTTGCCCATTTCTTTCAATCGCGAATATCTCGCAAAACTAACAGAGATAAATATATACAACTCGCAGAGAATATCTCTACTTGGACTCACATTCATAAATACGTAGTTAAAGTGGAAATCTGAGAAATAAAATTTTTTTACTTAAGAAAAAATTGCCAAGGGGGGGTGCTTGATACTTTTTTTCGACGATTTTTGAAAAATTCATATCTCTTAAACCAAAAGCCAGAGCAACCAACGAATCGTTGATTATAGAAGACTGGCAAATTTGTACCAGATAAAAATTTAAAATATATATATTTCCTACAGTAAAGGGTCGAAAAAGGCGTGACTAAAGTGCTAAAAGTGACATTTTTTAATTTTGCCCATTTCTTATCTAATCAATCGCGAATATCTCCTAACCAACAGAGATAAATAGTACAACTCGCAGAGAATATTCTACGGACTAATATCTATAACATACAGTAGTTAAAGGAAATTGAAAATAAAATTTTTTACTTAAGAAAAATTGCTACAAGTGCTTCATACTTTTTTTCGACGATTTTGAAAATTCATATCTCTTTAAACTAAAAGCCAGGAGCAACCAACGAATCGTTGATTATAGAAGACTGGAAAATTTAAAATTGTGATAAAATTTAAAATATATATATTTCCTACAGTAGCGTATTATCGAAAAAGGCGACTCAAAAGCGCAAAGTGACATTTTTTAATTTTTGCCTATTTCTTTCTAATCGCGAAATATCTCTCGTAAACTAACAGAGATAATGTACAACTCGCAGAGAATATTCTACGGACTAATATCTATAACATAAGCAGTAAAGCTAAAAGTGAAAATCTGAGAAATAAAATTTTTTTACTTAAGAAAAAATTGCCAAGGGGGGTGCTTGATACTTTTTTCGACGATTTTTGAAAATTCATATCTCTTAAACTAAAAGCCAGAGCAACCAACGAATCAAGCTGATTATAGAAGACTGGCAAATTCTTGTACCAGATAAAAAATTTAAAATATATATATTTCCTACAGTAAAGGGCTATCGAAAAGGCGACTAAAAGTGCTAAAAAGTGACATTTTTTAATTTTTGCCCATTTCATTCAATCGCGAATATCTCGTAAACTAACAGAGATAAATAGGTACAACTCGCAGAGAATATTCTACGGACTAATATCTATAACATACAGTAGTTAAAGGAAATCTGAGAAATAAAAATTTTTTTACTTAAGAAAAAATTGCTGGGTGCTTGATACTTTTTTTCGACGATTTTGAAAATTTATATCTCTTAAACTAAAAGCCAGAGCAGCAAACTAAACGAATTGCTGATTATAGAAGAAGACTGGAAAATTTCTGTACCAGATAAAATTTAAAATAATATATATATTTCCTACAGTAAAGGGTCGAAAAAGGCGACTAAAAGTGCTAAAAAGTGACATTTTTTAATTTTTGCCCATTTCATTCAATCGCGAATATCTCTGTAACCAACAGAGATAAATAGGTACAACTCGCAGAGAATATCTCTACGGACTATCTAACATACAGTAGTTAAAGGAAATTGAAAAATAAAATTTTTTACTTAAGAAAAAATTGCCAAGGGGTGCTGGATACTTTTTCGATGATTTTTGAAAATTCATATCTCTAAACTAAAAGCCAGAGCAACCAATGAATCGCTGATTATAAAGACTGCGTACCCCTGTACCAGATAAAAATTTAAAATATATATATTTCCTACACTAAAGGGTCGAAAAGGCGTGACTAAAAGTGCTAAAAGTGACATTTTTAATTTTGCCCATTTCATTCAATCGCGAATATCTCGTAAACTAACAGAGATAAATAGGTACAACCTGCAGAGAATACTCACGGACTAATATCTATAACATACAGTAGTTAAAGCGGAAATCTGAGAAATGTAAAATTTTTTTACCAAAAAATTCGCCAAGGGGGTGCTTGATACTTTTTTGACGATTTTTTGAAAATTCATATCTCTTAAACTAAAAGCCAGAGCAACCAACGAATCGGGTTGATTATAGAAGACTGGAAAATTTCTGTACCAGATAAAATTTAAAATATATATATTTCCTACAGTAAAGGGTCAGAAAAGGTGACTAAAAGTGCTAAAAGTGACATTTTAATCTTTTGCCCATTTCATTCAATCGCGAATATCTCTGTAAACCAACAGAGATAAATAGGTACAACTCGCAGAGAATATTCTACTTGACTATCTATAACATACAGTAATTAAAAGGAAATCTGAAAATAAATTTTTACCTTAAGAAAATTGCTGGAGGGGGTGCTTGGATACTTTTTTCGACGATTTTGAAAATTCATATCTCTTAAACTTAAAGCCAGAGCAACCAACGAATCGGTTGATTATAGAAGACTGGAAAAATTCTGTACCAGATAAAAATTTAAAATATATATATTTCCTTTACAGTAAAGGGTCGAAAAGTTATGACTAAAAGTGCTAAAGTGATATTTTTAATTTTGCTCTATTTCTATCTAATACCGCGAATTGTTCGTAAAATCTGGCCAGAGATAAATAGGTACAAATTTCGTAGAGAATATTTCATGCATCTAATATCTATAAATATACAGTAGTTAAAGGAAATTGGAGAAATAAAATTTTTACTTTTAAGAAAATTGCTAAGGTTTTGATACTTTTTTACGGTTTTTGAAAATTATATTCTTAAATTCAAAAGCTAGAGCAAATTCAATGAATTCGTTGATTATAGAAGATTGGAAAATTTCTGTACTAGATAAGAATTTTAAAATATATATATTTTAAGCAGTAAAGGTTGAAAAGGTACTAAAAAGTAAAAGTATTATTTTTTACTTGCCTATTTATCTAATACCGAATATTCGTAAAATTCAAATAGAGATAAATAGGTAAGGTAGAGAATATTCTATGGATTTGGCTATTTATAAATAAGGCAGTAGTTAAAGGGAAATTGAGAAATAAAATTTTACTTTTAAGAAAATAAGTTGTGTTGATACTTTTTTTGATACTTGAAAATTTGGTATTTTAAATTAAAAGTTAGAGTAAATTCAACAATTGTTGATTATTTCAGAATGTTTAGCGTATTAATATAAAAGTGTATTGTGTAGAGTGCTTTTAAATTGAGTTATATGGCGGTGAAAATTCTGGAAAAGTGTAATGTTTCATGAGATAAGCAGGGTGTTTTCTACAGTATGTTTTAAAATTTCAAAAGGGTGATGTTAAAAGTGGGTATTTAGGGTAATTTTGTGAATGTTTAGTGTATTAATATAGTATGTATTGTGGCGTTCTGGAAATTGGTAAATGGTGAAATTTCGGTGTGTAATAGTTTATGGTATAAGCAGGTGTTTTCTAAGCAGTATGTTTTAAAATTTCAAAAGGGCGGGACATGCTTTAAAGGTATTTTAGGGTACTTCAGGACAAGCTTTAGTGTATTAATATAGTATGTATTGTGTAGAGCGACTTAAATCTGGTAAAATGGCGGTGAAAATCTCGGAAAAGTGTAATAAGCTTATGAGATACAGGTGTTTTTCTGGCTGTAGTATGTTTTCGTGTACTTCAAAAGGGCGTTGTTTGGTTTTGCCCTTGGTCTTGGTTCTGGTCTCTGGTTCTGGTCTTGGTCTCTGGGTTCTGGTTCCTGGGTCTCTGGGTTCTTGGTCTCTGGTTCCTGGTTCCTGGTCTCTTGCCCTGGTGCTGGGTTCTGGTTCTGGTCTCTGGGTCTCTGGGTCTCTGTCTCTGGTTCTGGTCTTGGTCTCTGGTCTCTGGTCTTGTTGGTTCTGGTTCTGTTGGTTCTGTTTCCTTGTTGGTTCTGGTCTCTGTTGGCTCCTGGGTTCTGCTGTCTCTTGGACTTGTTGGCCCTGGTCTTGGCTCCTGGTTTTGTCTCTAGGCCCTTGTCTCTGGTTCTGGTTCCTGTCTCTGGTTCTGTCTTGGTTCTGGTCTCCTGGGTCTGGTCTTGGTCTCTGGTCTCTTGTCTTGTCTCTGTTGGTTCTGTTGGCCCTGGTCCTTGCTGGTTCTGTTGGTCTCTGTTCTGTCTTGTTGGTTCTTGTTGGGTCCTTGCTGGTCTCTGCTGGTCTCTTGTTGGCCCTGGTTCTGTTGGCCCTGTCCTTGGCCCTGGTCTTTGGTCCTGGTTCTGTCCTTGGCCCTGGTCCTGGTCCTGGACTTGGTTCCTGTAGGTCCTTCACCTGGTCCTGTACTGCCCTGGGACCTTGTTGTCCTGGACCCTGGTCCTGCCTCCTTGCCCTGTAGGTTCTTGACCTTGTGGGTCTCTGTCCTTGGTCTCTGGTCCTTGTTGGTCTCTGGTTTTTGGGACCTTGGTCCTTGTTGGTCTCTTGGCTCCTGGCTGGGTCCTGGTCTCTGTAGGTCTTGGACCTTGTTGGTCTTGTTGGTCTCTGATCCTGGTCTTTGGTCTTTGGCCCTAGGACTTGGGTTCTTGGCCCTGGTCTCTGTCATACCCTGGTTCCTGGTCTTGTAGGCTCCTTGGTTTTGGATCTCCTGTCTCTGGTTTGCCTCCTGGCCCTGGTTCTGTCTTTGCTGGTTTTGTCCTTTTTGGTCCTGGGTTCCTGTGCTTGTTGGACCTTGGTTCTGGTCTTGGCCCTGGACTTGGCCTTGGTCTCAGTCTTGGTCCTTGCTGGTCCTTGCTGGTTCTGATTTTTGGCCCTGGTCTCTGGTCCTGGTCTTTGCCTTGGTCTCTAGGTTTTGGTCCTAGGTTTTGGTTCTGGCCCTTGGCCCTGGCCCTGGGTTGTCACGGTCTTGGCCCTGGTCTTGGTCTCTGGGTCTCTTGGCCCTTGGTCTATGGTCCTGGTCCTTGCTGGTCCTTGTTGGTCTCTGGTCTTGTACTTGTTGGTCCTGGTCCTGTGGGACCTTGGTCCTGTTGGTCCTTGTTGGCCCTGGTCTCTGGTCCTTGTTGTCCTTGGTCTCTACCTGGTCTCCCTACCTTGGCCCTTGGGCCCTTGTCCTTGCTGTCCTGGTCCTGGTCCTGCTGGTCCTTTTGCTGGTCCTGGGTCCATGCTGCTGGTCCTGTCCTAGACCTTGGTCCTGGGACCTTGGTCCTGGGCCCCTTGTCCTTGCTGGTCTTGGTCCTTGAACTTGCCCTTGGTCCTGGTCCTGGTCTCAGTCCATGGTCCTTGCTGGTCCTTGCTGGTCCTGATTTTGGTCCTTGGCGGTCCTTGGTCTTTGGTCTTTGGTCCCAGGTCTTGGTCCCAGGTCTTTGGTCCTTGGTCCTTGGTCATTGGTCCTTGGTCATTGGTCCTTGGTCCTTGGTCCTGGGTCCTGGTCCCTTGGGTCCTGGTCCTTGGTCCTGGTCCTGGTCCATGGTCCTGGTCCTGGTCCTTGGTCCTTGGTCCTTGGTCCTTGGTCCTGGGTCCTTGGTCCTTGGTCCTTGGTCCTTGTCCTGTCCTGGTCCTGGTCCTTGGTCCTTGGTACCAGGTCCTTGTCCTGGCTCCTTGTTGGTCCTGCTCCTTGCTGGTCCTTTTTGGTTCTGCTGGTCCTGGTCCTGTTGGTCTTGCTGGTCCTGGTCCTGGTCCTTGGTCCTTGTAGGTTCTTGACCTTGCTGGTCCTTGTTGGTCCTGTCCTTGGTCCTGGTCTTGGTCCTTGGTCCTGGTCCTTGGTCTGGTCCTGGTCCTGGACCTTGGTCCTTGTAGGTCCTTGACCTTGCTCCTTGTAACAATGTCCTGACCTTGCTGGTCCCTTGGACCTTGGTCCCGCCCTTGGTCCTGTAGGTCCTGGACCTTGCTGGCCCTGGGTCCTGGGTCCCGGGTCCTGGTCCTGGGTCCCGGTCCTGTCCCTGGGTCCCGGTCCCTGGTCCTGGTCCTGGTCCTGGTCCTTGGTCCTGGTCCTTGGTCCTTGACCTGGTCCTTGGTCCTGGACCTTGTCCTTGGACTTCGGGTCCTGGACCTTGGTCCCAGGTCCTGTTGGTCCTGTTAACCTGGCTCCTGGGTCCTAGGTCCTGGTCCTGCTGGTCCTTGGTCCTGGTCCTTGCTGGTCCTGGGTCCTGGTACTTGGTCCTGGTCCTGTGACCTTGGTCCTGGGCCCTTGTCCTGTTTTCGGTCCTGTCCTGGTCCTGTCCTGGTCCTGGTCTTTGGTCCCAGGTCCCCGTCCTTGCTGGGTCCTTGCTGGTCCTGCTGGTCCTTGCTGGCTCTGGTCCTGACGGTCCCGGCTCCTTTTGGTCCTGGGTCCTGTCCTTGTAATTCCTGGTCCTTGCTGGTCCTTGCTGGTCCCGGGTCCTGGGTCCTTGCTGGTCCTGGTCCCAGACCTGGTCCTGGGACCTTGGGTCCTGGGCCCTTGTCCTTGCTGGTCCTGTCCTGGTCCTTGCTGGTCCTTGCTGGTCCTGGTCCATGTTGGTCCTGGTCCTTAGACCTTGGTCCTGGGACCTTGGTCCTGGGCCCTTGTCCTTGTTGGTCCTGTCCTGGTCCTTGGTCCTTGGTCCTGGTCCTTAGGGGACCTTGGTCCTTGTTGGTCCTTGCTGGTCCCTGGTCTTGGTCCTTGTTGGTCCTGGTCTCCAGACCTTGGTCCTCAGCCCTTGTCCTTGTTGGTCATTGGTCATTGGTCCTGGTCCTGGTCCTGGTCCTGGTCCTTGTCCTGGTCCTGGTCCGGTCCTTTGTCCTTGGTCCTGGTCCTTGGTCTTGGTCAGCTGCCTTGCTCCTGTCAGCTGCTCCTGGTCCTGGTCCTGGTCCTGCTCTGGTCATTGCTCCTTGGCCGCTGGTCCTTGGTCCTTGCTGGTTTCTGGTTCCTGTTGGTTTCTGGTCCTTGTTGGTCCTGTCCTGGACCTTGTTGGTCCTTGTTGGTCCTTGGTACTTGGTCCTTGGTCCTTGGACCTTGGTCCTTGTAGGTCCTTGGACCTTGTTGGTCCTTGGTCCTTGGTCCTTGGTCTTTGGTCCTATGTCCTTGGTCTTTGGTCATTGGTCCTTGGTTCTTGGTCCATGGTCCTTGATCCGGGATAGATCTGCGATAGATCCGGGATAGATCCGGGATAGATCCGGGATAGATCCTGGATAGATACGGGATGGATCCGGGATAGATCCGGGATGGATCCGGGATAGGTTCGGGATAGAACCGGGATAGAACCGGGATAGAACCGGGATAGATCCGGAAAAGATCTGGGCGTAGATCCGGGATAGATCCGGGATAAATCCGGGATAGATCCAGGATAGATCCGGGATAGAACCGGGATAGAACCGGGATAGAACCGGGATAGAACTGGGCAGGGTCCTTGTTGGTCCTTGGTCCTTGGTCCTTGGTCTTTGGTCCTTGGTCCTTGGTCCTTGGTCCTTGGTCCTTGGTCCTTGGACCTTGGTCCTTGTAGGTCCTTGACCTTGTTCCTTGTACGTCCTTGGACCTTGTTGGTCCTTGGACCTTGGTCCTTGCCCTTTGGTCCTTGTAGGTCCTGGACCTGTTGGTCCTGGTCCTGGTCCTGGCCCTGGTCCTTGGTCCTGGTCCTGGCCTGGTCCTTGTCCTGGTCCTGGACCTGTCCAGTCCTGGACCTTGGTCCTGACTTCTGGGTCCTGACCTTGGTCCTGTGGTGTCCTTGGACCCAAGCTGCTGGTCCTTGCTGGTCCTTGGTCTTGGTCCTAGGTCCTGGTCCTTGCTGGTCCTTGGTCCTTGCTGTCCTTGCTGGTCCTTGGTCCTTGGTACTTGTTGGTCCTTGGTCCTAGACCTTGGTCCTGGGCCCTTGTCCTTGCTGGTCCTTGGTCCTTGGTCCTGGGTCCTGGTCCTGCCTTGGTCCTAGGTCCTTGGCCTAAGCTGGTCCTTGTTGGTCCTGTTGGTCCTTGCTGGCTCCTGGTCCTTGACTTGGTCCTTGGTCTTTGGTCCTGTCCTTGGGTCCTAGACCTTGGTCCTTGCTGGTCCTTGTTGGTCCTGGTCCTTGGTCCTGCTGGTCCTTTTTGGTCCTGACCTTGGTCCTGGGACCTTGGGTCCTGGGCCCTTGTCCTTGCTGGTCCTGGTCCTGGTCCTGTTGGTCCATGTTGGGACCTGTCCATGTTGTCCCTGGTCCTAGACCTTGGTCCTGGGACCCAGTCCTGGGCCCTTGTCCTTGCTGGTCCCGGGTCCTGGTCCTGGTCCTGGTCCTGGTCCTGGTCCCAGACCTTGGTCCTTGCTGGTCCTTGCTGGTCCTGGTCTTGGTCCTTGCTGGTCCTGTCCTGTAGGGACCTTGGTCCTGGGCCCTTGTCCTTGCTGGTCATTGGTCATTGGTCCTGGTCCTGGTCCTGGGTCCTTGGTCCTTGGTCCTTGGTCCTTGGGTCCTTGGTCCTTGTCCTGGTCCTGGTCCTGGCCCCTGGTCCTGGTTCTGGTCCTGGTCCTTGCTTGGTCCTGTTGGTCCTTGCTGGTCCTTGTTGGTCCTTGCTGGCTGTCCTTGTTGGTCCTTGCTGGTCCTTGCTGGTCCTTGCTGGTCCTTGCTGGTCCTTGCTGGTCCTGCTGTCCTGTTTGTCCTTGCTGGGTCCTGCTGGTCCTTTGCTGGTCCTTGCTGGGTCCTGGTCCTGCTGGGTCCTGGTCCTTGCTGGTCCTGGGTCCTTGGGTCCTTGTAGGTCCTTGGACCTTGCTGGTCTTCTTTGGTCATTTTTTCGCTCTGGTCCTGGTCCTTGTAGGTCCTGGACCCGCTGTCCCTTGCTGGTCTTGGTACTGGTCTCAGTGCTCGGCCCTGGTCCCTGGGTCAGCTGGTCATTGGTCATTTGCCCTTGGCCTGGTCCTTGTGGTGGGTCCTGGTCCTTGTAGGTCCTGGGTCCTGGTCCTGGGTCCTGCTGGTCCTTGCTGGGTCCCTTGCACCCTGCTGGTCCTTGCTGGTCTTGGTCCTGGTCCCTGGTCCTGTCAGCTGGTCAGCTGGTCATTTGTCCCGTCTTGGTCATTGGTCCTTGCTGTCCCTGGTCCTGGTCCTGGTCCTGGTCCTGGGTCCTGGCCTTGTCCTGGTCCTGGTCCTGTCCTGGTCCTGGTCCTGGTCCTTGGTCCTTGGTCCTGGGTCCTGGTCCTGGTCCTTGGTCCTGGTCCTGGTCCTGGTCCTGGTCCTGTCCTGGTCCTGGTCCTGTCCTGGTCCTGGTCCTGGCTCCTGGGTCATTGCCTTGCCCTGGTCACAAGGCTCCCTGGGTCCTTGGGTCCTGGGTCCTTGCCTTGGCCAGCTGCCTCTGGCTCATTGGTCCTTGGTCCTGCTGGTTTCTGGTCCTTGCTGGTTTCTGGTCCTTGTTGGTCCTGTTGGTCCTTGGACCTGTTGGTCCTGTTGGTCCTGGTACTTGGTCCTGGTCCTTGGACCTTGGTCCTTGTAGGTCCTTGGACCTTGATGGTCCTTGGTCCTTGGTCTTTGGTCCTAGGTCCTTGGTCTTTGGTCATTGGTCATTGGTCCTTGGTTCTTGTTCCATGGTCCTTGATCCGGGATAGATCTGCGATAGATCCGGGATAAATCCGGGATAGATCCTGGATAGATACGGGATGGATCCGGGATAGATCCGGGATGGATCCGGGATAAGTCCGGGATCGAACCGGGATAGAACCGGGATAGAACCGGGATAGATCCGGAAAAAGCATCTGGGCGTAGATCCGATAGATCCGATAAAATCCGATAGATCCAGGATAGATCCGGAATAGAACCGGGATAGAACCGGGATAGAACCGACAGAACCGACAGAACCGGGATAACCAAGCAGGCCAGGGCCGGGCCAGGCCGACTTCAGGGCCACAGGCCGGGCCAGGGCCGGGCCAGGCTGTGCTGTGCCAGGCTGTGCTGTGGCTGTGGCCAGGCCAGGCCAGGCTGTGCTTGCGCTGTGCTGTGCTGTGCTGTGCCTGTGCTTGTGCTGTGCTGTGCTGTGCTGTGCTGTGCTGTGCTGTGCTACAGGCCAGGCTGTGCTGTGCTGTGCTGTGCTGTGCTGTGCTGTGCTGTGCTGTGCTGTGCTGTGCCAGGCTGTGCTGTGCCTGTGCTGTGCTGTGCTGTGCTGTGCCAGCTGTGCTGTGCTGTGCTGTTGTGCTGTGCTGTGCTGTGCTGTGCTGTGCTGTGCTGTGCTGTGTGCTGTGCTGTGCTGTGCTGTGCTGTGCTGTGCCAGCTGTGCTGTGCTGTGCTGTGCTGTGCTGTGCTGTGCCGGTGTTGTGCTGTGCTGTGCTGTGCTGTGCTGTGTTGTGCTGTGCTGTGCTGTGCTGTGCTGTGCCAGCCGTGCTGTGCTGTGCTGTGCTGTGCTGTGCTGTGCTGTGTTGTGCTGTGCTGTGCTGTGCTGCTGTGCTGTGCTGTGCTGTGCTGTGCTGTGCTGTGTTGTGCTGTGCTGTGCTGTGCTGTGCTGTGTGCTGTGCTAGGCTGTGCTGTGCTGTGCTGTGCTGGTGTGCTGTGCTGTGCTGTGCTGTGTCAGGTGTGCTGTGCTGTGCTGTGCTGTGCTGTGTGCTGTGCTGGAAGCAGGTTGTGTTGTAAGAAGAAGCCAAGCAGCAGGTTAGGTTAGGTTAGGTTACCCCGGGATGGGTACACCTTGGCGTGGTCCCGGGGCTCAGTACCCCCTTGCAAGCCAGCGAGTGGGGGAAGCTAACGTACCCAAACACAGTCGAGCCAGGACTTAAAGAATCAAGGGCGCGAGCTGGCGGCAGCTATAAAACGTAACTAATTCTGGACGGACATGGAACCGACAAAGAAAAAGTTTACCGCACAGGGGAGGGATACCTCAGTGCCGGTCCTGAAGGGCGTTGTTGCAGGCCCCGCTGGATCGTTATCCCACGACTGCAAGACCCCAGCGATGAACCAGGCTGGGAGTCAAGTAAGTACTACTGGAACGCAAGGTAAGGTAATCAGGCCAACTGTTCAGCTCAGCGAGCTCAGCGAGCAAAAGGTTTTCAAGAGAGGAGGGCTCCAGAGGACGCCTCCAAGAACACCGGGCACCCCGTCGACGCCTCCAAGAACACCGGGCACCCCGTCGACGGCAGGATCAGGAGGATCTAGCTACTGGCAGGATGACGAGCTGATCAGCGGATCACCAAATGTCACCTTAGTGGGTGGCATAACAAGAACAAGACTGTGGTCAGACGGAGCGGAGTCTCCGCGGACACCACCTCTTGGAAAGGCGCTGTCACTACCGGAGGTAAGCAGCAAACGGCCCCGAGATGACACCACACCTCCGAGCAAAACAGGGGAGGCGGTCAACCGGATGGAAATCCTGGTGGCCACATTCCAGTCGCTAAAGGAAAAGAATACGGCCAAGCCCCTGAAGGCGGCAATAGACCAGCTGGCAGGCCACTTCGCGGCGGCGAGGAGGGAGCTCGAGGCCCCACATAAGGAAGCCAAGGCGGCTAAGACAAGGGACGACAGGGAGCTGGAAGAAGCAAGGGCTCTCAGGCCGCGATTTTCAGGGACCGGCAGACGGGCCCGGATGAGAACGGCGAAGAAAAGACAAGGCAAGACCTAGTCATCCTGGTAGGGTGCGACGGCAACCAAGGCCCACAGGAATGGTACAAGGGCCTGGTCAAACTGAGGGCGGCCCTGGAAAAGGAGAACGTAAGGAGTGCCTTAGGAAGGTGGCGGAGGCCTGCCTAAGGGAAACGGAGGTGAAGTGGGTGCTGCACGTCAGCGGCAGGAGGATGGCGGCCCAGGAGGCCGGTTCCAGGGTGCTGCTGGTGCAGGGGCAGTCTTACGCCACAGCGGCTCTGGCAATCAAAATGGGCTCCCGCAAGCTCTGAAGGCCAGCATCCGAGACGCTACAAAGACCAAGAGCAGGGCGCTCCGGGTGGTGGTGGCGAAGGGGCTGACTCCTCGCAGTTGGAGAAAGCCCTGAAGACGGCCGTCGGCAAGAACATGACGGTCAGGTCGCCGGACACGCCGGAAGAGGTGGCGGCGGCGGTGGGCGAGCTGCTCGGGAAGACGGTGCCACTGGAGGCGTGCAGGGTCACGAAGAGGGCGGACGCAAGCGCATCGGCATCGGCGCTGCTCCAGGCAAGGGACGCGGAGAGGTGCTTGGAGACCAAAAGGGTGAGGATTGGCCTGTCAAGGTCAAGGATCCTGCGGATCGCCCCTACGGCCAAGAGATGCCCCAGGTGCCTGGAAAAGGACATGGGGTGGCGGCGTGCAAGGGCAGGATCGCTCCAAGTGCTGCCGAAGATGCGGCCAGGAGGGACACCAGGCGGCGTCATGTAAAGAGGATCCGGTGTGCTTCACATGCAAAGGCAAGGGAGTCCAGGAAGCGAACCACCTTAGCGACAGCCCCAGCTGCCCCTCCCGACAGGCAGGAAGGCAAAGGGCCGAAGGCATGCCAGGAGGAGCCGAGCTGCATAGCCTGCGTGGTGGGTGGCTTTGCAGACAAGGACCATACAGGAGGAAGCGAGAAGTGTCAAGCGGCGAAGGCGACGACGCCAGAACCGCGAGAGGAACCCTCCAACCCCGAAAATGCGAGTGGCTCAAATTAATTTGAACCACACCTGGGCGGCCCAAGATCTGCACGCCCAGGCAGCGAGAAAGTGGGGTCTCACCATATCGCTGGTTTCGGAGCCGCTTGTGGCCTCGAGACCCACGGGATGGTACTTTGACGACCTCAAGAGGGCTGCGGTGGCTGTATGGGACAAGTCTCTCCCGCAAAACGTATTCCACAGGGCAAAGGGAGTGGTGGGGTAACGGTCGATGGAAGAAATTTCATCAGCTGTTACGCGTCTCCGGCCCTGACGATCGGGGAATACGACGAGCTCTAGCGGAGGTCGGCACAGCACTGGACAAAACCAGAGGAAGTCATCGTTGGAGGAGACTTCAACGCCAAGGCACCGGAATGGGCCGCGCGGGCATCGGACGAGAGAGGCAGGCACCTCCTGGAGCTGGCGGCAACAAGGGACCTTGTGATTATGAACAACGGTTCAGCCCCCACATTCCAGAAAGGAGCGCGCACTTCCAACCCTGACGTCTCGCTAGCAAAGGGTCTCACAGGACCATGGTCCTGGGCGGTGGTCGACGACGAGACGGCGAGCGACCACAGGCTCATGATCATGGACCTGGACGAGCAGACGACCAGCTCTGAGACAATGACGCGGGAGAGATGGAAGGTCAAGGAAGTCCCGGAGGAGACAGCGACGGAAGCGGCACAGCACACGCTGCTCAGGCGGCCCCTACCCAAGGGGGCGGAAGTAGCTGCAGAGACCCTCCAGAAATGGATGGTGGCATTCTGCAACCAAGTCTACGGCCGCCGCAGGAGGAGGTAAGAAGGCCTGCCGGAAACCGATGTACTGGTGGACGGAGGAGATCTCCCAAGCCAGAACAGAGGTCAAGGCGGCCCGCAGGAAGCTCCAAAGAACGAGAGCAGATCGAGCGGAGCAGCTGGAGAGGGCCAGAGATGAGGCCAGGGCGGCCAAAAACCGTCTCAAAAAGATGATTCGGGTCAGCAAACTACGCTCCTGGGAGAAGCTGACGGAGGAGGTGGAAAACGACCCGTGGGGCCTGCCATACAGGATAGTATGCAGGAAGTTTGTGAGAACACCCCCGCCTGCCCTGGAAAAGGCCAAGGAAGCGATGGAGGTGCTGTTTCCGAGCAGACACCCAGAAGAACCCCCCGTGAGACAGACCGCCCCGGCGGAGGACTGGTGTGTCCAGGAGGTGACAGAGGAGGAGGTAATCCGCGCAGCGCTGGCACTCAAGAACAACAAGGCCCCCGGCCCAGACGGCATTCCTAACGAGGCGATTAAGATGGCAGCGATTCTGGCCTCAGATAGGCTGGCAGAAGTGGCCACAAGCTGCCTTCGAGAGGGAGTATTCCCAAAACGCTGGAAACCAGCCATCCTCATTCTCCTGAGGAAACCAGGAAAGAGCGGGGACAGGCCAGGAGACCACAGGCCGATATGCCTGCTGAATGGGCTAGGAAGTTCGAAAGGTACTCCTACACTGGTGCGAGGGCCACTTTGAGGCATACCTTTCCGACACTCAATACGGGTTTAGGAAGGGTAGGTCAGCAATAGAGGCCGATGAGCACCAGCGCGCTTTCGCGCAGCGATGGATAAGTACAAGGCACGTCAAGCAGGCTGGTGTTGCTGGTAGGCCGATACTGCCAATGCGTTCAACAGCGCGTCTTGGGGAGAAGACTGCCGATGGCCTAAGAGCAGCAGGAGTACCGGAGCACCTATGGCGGTTCTAGAGAACTCTGTGGGGAAGGAAGGTCCAACACATCGACCGGACGGAATGGCATCATGCCACCTGCAGAGAGGAGTGCCGCAAGATCCATACTAGCCAGCGGCCCGCTATTGACTCTGCAGCTGGACTTGTTTCATCTTCAATCCTTCTGCTACATACTCACACAGTTCTATTTCTATTATATATCCTAAAAGTTGCGAGGGCCCTGCCATTCCGCGTACTTTTCTGTGTGCCTGGGGTATCTCAGGATTCAAGTCCT